CTCCTGCAATCACGGCGGCTTTGTAACGGAAACCTGATGTTTTCCAAAAAAACAAAACAATAAGAGAAAGAAAAGAGAATATGCATGCCGTGGACGAGAGATAGAAATATAGAAGATAGAAATTACTTATATTAAAAGAAAAATGATAATTAGATAAGGAAAAAAATGCTGACCGAATAAAAATAAGAGAAGATAGAAAAAATATACCCGATTGTTTTAAATATAAAAGTTAATAAAATAGAAGAAACTATTTAGTTGAGCGACGAGAAATAAATATATTTAGTGACGAAGATATAAATATATACCTATTGTTTAGAAAAGAAAGGAGAAAAAATACATTTGGTGACCAAGATAGAAAAAAATACCAAATATTTAGAAAAGAAAGGAGAAGGAAAAAAATTACTGACGAAGATAAAGATATATGCCCGTAGAACTATTCACGAAACAGCTATGGCGATATCATAACCCGGATATAAAATTCGGACCGGGGTCGTGCCAGCCGCCATGAATGAATCCATACAAGCTGTTTTTCCCCCCAAATTATTTTCATAGGCTGGGTGTGGTGACCTTCCTGTATGGTGGAGGATAAAAACGAGAGGCGTCACTGTTACCTGTGATTTCGCACAGGTAATGGCATATCCGCGAAGGTATAATGAACGAATTTAACAACCAAAATAGGCTAGTTACCCCCCCCCCTTGTAACTAGCCTATTTTGGTTGTTATATCCGTTTGGTAAGTGTTGTGAGCCTCCTTCGGGTATATGGTGTAAAGTGTGGTGACTCTAGCATCAGGGTGAATATATAGTGTCCGCGAATGGTGTCATGTTATGGTGGGAAATGTGGTGTTTAAGACCGGTGTGATTTTGGGGAAATAGCTGTGACGACGCAGAGGTGTGACAAAAGGTGATCGTTCCCGTTGCATTTAACTTTCAATCATTAATACTATTCATGATCATTATCGCTTACTCTGCAGGGCTGTCATTTATTCCTCTTGCTATCTCTCTCATTCACTGACGGTTATTGTGGCATACTTCCTATTTTCCTTGTCTTCTCTTTTCATATCTTTGAAATTGAATTAGGAAGGAATAAAAACGACCACTTTTTTTTCTTTTTTTTCTTCTTTAACGAGGCTCATTTTTGGTCTTCAACCGACTGAAAAATTTACATATCGACTAGACCTTAACTATGGCTATTATGACTCATTTGGCATTCCCGCTGGGCGCTCGCTTTCCCTTCCCTTCTCCCTGTCTGTCTCTCTATCTATCTATCTCTATTTTCTATCTTTATCTTATCTCTATCTCTCTTCCCTTTTCACTTCCATCTTCCCTCTCTCTCTCTCTCATCTACCTTAATTCTCTACTCATCTATCTATCTTATCTATTCTCTCCGTATCTCCTATCTATCTCTCATCTCTTTTTTCTCTCTCTCTCTCTCTTTATTTCTCTGCCTTGTCCTCTATCTTCATCTGTCTATTCATTATCTCCAGCTCTCCCCTCCCTCCTCCCTCCCCCTCCCTCCTCCCTCCTCGCCTCCCTCCCTCCCTTCCCTCCTCTCTCCCTCCCTCCCTTCCCTTCCTCCCGTCCCCTCTCTCCTCTTCTTCTCCCTCTCTCTCGTTCCTCTACTCCTCATCTCTCTCTTCCCTCATTGCTCCCCTCTCTCTCCCTCTCTCTCTCCCTCTCTATCTCCCTCTTTCTCTCCCTCTCTCTTCCTCTCTTCTCTCCGCTCTCTCTCGGCTACTCTCTCTCGCTCTCTCCTCTCATCTCTCTTCACCTCTCTCTCCTCTCTCTCTCTCTCTCTCCTCTCTATCCTCTCTCTCTTCTCTCTCTCTCTCTCTCTCTCTTCTCTCCCCTCCCTCTCTCCTCTCTCTCTCTCTACTCTCTCTCTTCTGTCTGTCTCTCCTTCCCTTCCCTCCCTCCTCCTCTCTCTCTCTCTCTCTCTCTCTTCTCTCTCTCTCTCTCTCCTCTCTCTCTCTCTCTCTCTCTCTCCTCTCTCTCTCTCTCTCTCCCTCCCTCCTCCCTCCCTCTCCTCCCTCTCTCTCTCTCTCTCTCTCTCTCTCTCTCTCTCTCTCTCTCTCTCTCTCTCTCTCTCTCTCTCTCTCCCTCCGTTCCCTTCCCTCCCGGTTCCTGTCCCGCAGCCATCCATCACAGCACGTAAGGTCGAGAGTCACGTGGTGAGGACTGCGGTATCAGACCATCTTGATGAATGTCTCCCTCGCCTCCGCCATGATTCCAGCCTCCTTATCTCCCGCCCTTATCTCCGGCTCGAGCTCCGGCTGCGTGTCTGTCTGTCTGTCTTTTTGTCTAGGTGGGTATGTGTTTGTTTTTGTTTTTCCTGGTCGTTTGTTTGGCTTGTTTGGGTGTGGTGTGTTCTTGTGTGTTTGTTTTCGAGTTTTTTGTTTGTGTGCGTTTGTGTGTGTGATGTTTGTGTGTGTGTGTGTGTGTGGGATGCGTATTGTGCATGAGTTATGTATGTGTTGAGTGTGTGTTTACGTGTGTGTATTTACTCATATTAAATATCTGTTTTAGTCTACTTGTCGACTTTTTTATCTGTGGATTTGTTTATTAATGTACTATCTTCTATTTTTGTTCATTTTTATCTTTTATCTATGAATTTTCATCACCTCCGTTGCCAAAAATGTATTTCTTGAATAACCTTACATTTCAGTCTGTATGGGAACAAAGAACAAAATGATAACAATAACTACA